GGTGTAATCGAGCATGCTGATTACGAACACAATATTAGTTTTCAGGATCGTCCATTACTTTTATCGATTTTATCGATTTTTTTTTGTAAAGTTTGACCTGCGGGGCTGGGAGTTTGCACAGGGGGTAATCGAGCATGCAGATTACGAATACAATATTAGTTTTCAAGATCGTCCATTACTTTTATCGATTTTATCGATTTTTTGAAAATTTGAGCTAGGGGCTGGAATTTGGCACAGGGGGTAATCGAGCATGCAGATTACGAATACAATATTAGTTTTCAAGATCGTCCATTACTTTTATCGATTTTATCGATTTTTTGAAAATTTGAGCTAGGGGCTGGAATTTGGCACAGGGGGTAATCGAGCATGCTGATCATACCCAAGGGGGGTGATCAGCATGCTCGATTACACCCCTGTGCCAAATTCCAGCCCCTAGCTCAAATTTTCAAAAAATCGATAAAATCGATAAAAGTAATGGACGATCTTGAAAACTAATATTGTATTCGTAATCTGCATGCTCGATTACCCCCTGTGCAAACTCCCAGCCCCGCAGGTCAAACTTTACAAAAAAAATCGATAAAATCGATAAAAGTAATGGACGATCCTGAAAACTAATATTGTGTTCGTAATCAGCATGCTCGATTACCCCCCTGTGCAAAATCCCAGCCTCGCATGTCAAAATTTACAAAAAATCGATAAAATCAATAAAAGTAATCGATAATTCTGAAAACTAATATTGTATTCGGAATCCCCATGCTCACTTCCCCCCTGTGCCAACTCCTAGCCCTGGAGGTGAACTCTGCAAAAAACTCGATAAAAATCGGTAAAATCGACATCGATCGATAACGAAAAGTGGACTGTGACACCCGCCGGGGCCCGAAGTGTATGTGTGCCAAGTTTGGTCCGGATACGGCGGAGCCGGGTAAGCCAGCTAGTTTATATTATTTATTTATCCTCGTAGCATTTTGGAGAGCAGAAAGTGAGTACACAAAATCAGTTAATTTTTAAAGCACATGAAATCCCTCATATCTCGCGGCACAGAAGACCTAGAAAAAAGTCGACGGTCTAGTCGACTCTCCATGATTTCAGTTTTCGAATGGTATACAGCATGTTAGGGCTTCTTTGCTACCTGGCTCTAAAAATCATTTGCTCCGGTAACCGATAAAAGCCAATACATTGGTGGAGCTGGGTTGGAGCAAGCTAATAGTAAATATCTCCACCCCATTTTTGAAAACTGATTAGTTTTTCCGCCCAGCAACCTACATACCATTCGAAAGCTTAGGAAAAGAGGATTTGACCTAGACCGTCGGCTTCTTTCTAGCCCCCCTCTACCGAGAGATACACCGCATTTTATCTGAAAACATGGTCATTTTCAACAGCAGATTTCTGCCAAACGAAGACCTAATCACTGCTGATTATCTATCTATGTTAAAGAGCAAATCTTCATTAACAAACGTAAACCGTCGATTTTCTCGTAGGAAAGTGAGGACACAAAATCAGTTAATTTTTGAAGCACATGAAATCCCTCATATCTCGCGGCACAGAAGACCGAGAAAAAAGTCGACGGTCTATGTCGACTCTCCATGATCTCAGCTTTCGAATGGTATACAGCATGTTAGGGCTACTTTGCTTCCCGGCTCTAAAAGTCATTTGCTTCGGTGACCCATAGAAGCCAACACATTGTATAGGTCGTCCCGAAAGTTTTTGCGCACGATTTTCAAAAATTCATAACTTCTGATTTTTTCAACCGATTTGGCTGCTTTCACATTTATGTGAAAGGGTAAGTCATGCTCTTTATATGTAATGACGTCCCAGCTGCTTAGTAATGGTCATCTGTTGCATAGATAGAAGCTCAAAACAAAATCACTCAAAATTTGAATTTTTGTGTAGGGTCATAAAAAATCAGAAACTTGCAACAAAATCGGATCAGTCGGTATTGTAGGTTCTTTCACCAGCTCTTTCTAACAATGCAAAGTTTGCTCCGATTGAGCGTCTCCATGAAAAGTTATAATTTCCGAGCAAGCAGTACAAAAAGGCGAATTTGATTTATTTTGGCATTTTTCAGGGAAATCATAACTTTTCATGTAGACGCTCAATCGGCGCAGACTTTGCACTGTTAGAAAGAGCTGGTGAAAGAACCTACAGTACTGACTGCTCCGATTTTTGTTGCAAGTCTCCGATTTTTTATGAAACTACACAGAAAATCGAAATTTTTACTATTTTTCTTCTATCGCTCCTATCTATGCAACAGATGACCATTACTAAGCAGCTGAGATGTCATTATAAAGAGCATGACTTACCCTTTCACACGAAAGTGAAAGCAGTCAAATCGGTTGGAAAAATCAGAAGTTATGAATTTTGAAATTCATGTGCAAAAACTTTCTGGACGACCTAATAAGAGCGAGGTGGAGCAAGTTAATAGTAAAAAATGTGCTGTGGATTGACATCGTTATCAGCATTAACGAGAACGTGAGCGAACGCATCTATTTGAGCGTGCTTATCGTTGTTATATGTTTATGTTTTTTTTGGTAAAAAATGCGCTTTTGATTGACAGTTATGCCATCATTATTAGCACACACTCAAAAAACTATGGGAGATTGGTGATTTTTCACAACTTCACACAAAAACCCGCCCATTTCTGGAATCTATGCTCTATAAACCTAGTGCTGAAGAAGGTCACTTTCGTGAAAACGCTCTAGACTCACCTTACCTAATTTGTAGAGAATGGTTGGTTCCAATGAATCAAAAACTCTGTGGCCTAAGGCATACCTCTTGCGATTTCGCAAAATCGCCACATCCTCGCGACTTGGCGATTTGCTAGATGTCTAGAGATTAAGCATACGAGGCTCTTAGATGCATGGGTGCGTAGATTCCGTAAATTGTAACAAACGCAGCAGATCTGGCCCAAGCAAAGTGCGTCTACGACCAGCCATGGAGAGTCGTTGCAGTGCCAAATCGCGCGGCGACTAAAATCGCGTGAGGTATGCCTTAGGCTTGAGACATTCAGAAGAATAACATGTTATTAAAATATCCCTCAATGTTTTGGAAAGGTTGGCAGTTTGAAGAGGAAACGGCAGGCAGAAGACTTTACAAAATCGCAGATGACTCGCATGTGTTCCAGTTCAAGCGAGGCAGAAGGAGAATCTTACGCCGACGAAAATGTTATCGCCATATACAGAGTTGGCAATTGAGCGAAACTCTGTGATTTCCTGCATAAGGAATCCAAGCAGATTGTCTTGTTTCAATGAGGAAATGTCCAGGAAGTGCATTGCTGATCTTCAGGTTGCTGAAGAATTCAAGGCTGCTAAATTCACAAACATGGATATGAACAAAAGGAAGGTGTTAGTACAAAGCATAATTACTGCACTTAGATCCCGGCTGGAGTGCGAAAGTACAAAGCATAATTACTGCACTTAGATCCCGGCTGGAGTGCGAACCCAACTCTGTGCTTTATGTTTTTGAAAGTTATTCGCCTTGTGACAATATGACCTATGATATTGAAAAAAAACCAACGCGCAGCATAGTATGCTTCATTTTTAAAATCGTGACGACGAGTTGACTGCGGTCTTTCCGCACACAGAAGGATAATACACTCATACAAGCAGGCAACACCTCAACGCTAAGCTCAGTCACTTCCAGTTCCTGTCTACTATCATATGCAAGCAGAAAAACTATTTGGTAAGATATAAAAACCAAGAATTGGGAGTGCGTGCGTGTTGCGCGCGGTCGCGTCATCGTCACGATTTTTCGAATGCCCTATACCTCCTTTTTTCGGCTATTCCGCAGATGCTGTTAAAGAAGAAGTTGAGCAGCTTTCTAATTAGCTAACAGGACGTATGCCAGAGGAGGTGAAGCCAGAGTTCGACAAGGCCCAAAAAGTATGCACTATTTCCTTCCCGTGTTGCGAAAGCATATGAGATCTGGCTCTTTTCCCATTACTTACCGCAAAAATCTGATGGACCTACTAGCAAAGCTAGTTTCCATTTCGACTAGCACGGCAGAGGTAGAGAAAGAAATTTTCTACCTACTCTGTTATCAGAACACAACGTAGAAGTCGTACAACGATAGAGCATCTAAGAAAATACTTAAGATTTGTCAACTTTCAACTAAACACATTGTTATCTAAAAACTTCATTTAAAGGGTTGGTATAAGTGATCCAGACAGGCTGTTACCGTATGACTTATGAAATATCCTAAAAGATGGTATGAAGAAACTGGTCACTTACCTGCTGACTTCCTGGTGCTACCAGAGGGCCAGGAAAAAATCACAAAAGCGCTTAGAAGAAGAAGAAAGTTTCAAATCCATTTTCGACTCAGAACGCTTTTGCACGCGATTCTACTTCTACTCCGATGACCCTTTGGAGGAAGAAGAAGATTTTTCAGGCAGCGAACTTGTTGTCTCTGACGTTAGCGATAGTGATATTGTTGATGATGATGTGCAGGAAATGAAGTTGTTCCTAACTTGTACATCTTTTGGGATAAACATTATTGCTTTCGTTTTTTGTTGATGCAGTGAAACAGGAGCACAGATCTTCATAATCAATTTTTTTTTAATTTTTTAATTTCTTTTGAAAATTAAAAAAAATTTTTTTCATTTTGTGCCTAAATAAGGTACAAATTAGAGCTCTTCATACCACGCTTTTTTACCTTTTCTCTCTTCCTCCCCCCCCCCCCCCCCTAGACCCACATAACCCCTTCACCCTGGAAGGTCGGGAACAGCCGAGACCCCCTTCACCTGGGGAGAGCCCGGCTCCCCCTATCGCACCTATGGTCTGCGGTCATTGCACACGCATGATGCCATAAGACCTCAAATCAGATTAAGCCAGCCCTTATTCCTCAAAATCTCTCCAAGTTGAAGGCTAATAGTTGTGGCAAGAGAGAGTTCAAAAGCAGCAAACACTAAGAAAGCCGAATGCGCGAGCAAGTAGCACTCTATCGACCTTCACAATCACGCAGAACCGATATGAGTGTAATCGTTTTTGTATTCTAGCGATTTCAAAATGAAGATGTGGGCGAAGCAGCGTCTGCAGACATTTGCAATCACTGAATGCTTTTTTAGCGCACGAGAAAGACGCGTCTTATCGCAATATAAAAGGTTGACTAAGGGGGAGACTGTCATCAATTTTTGTTTTGTTGTTCCCTATAACAGCTCATCGCTCCTATGGTTGTGTGTCAGAATTTCTGTACATTTCAACCATCTCTACTTATTTCGGCTGTCTCCAACAATTTCATAATACACAACGTGCTAATTTTCACACGATTCTCCTCTGGCAAAAATTGTATTGTAAGCCCTCTGATTGCTGTAAGAGTCTAAAATGAATGCCAGATTGTAATGCGACAGCATTGTTGCGATATTGTAAATTGTAAATGTAAATTTCTACCGAACAAAATATTTTTATGTAGGACATCTGCTTTCTGTCATGGAAATTTGTGGGATAATAATCGAGCGTCTTTAAAAGAAATCTTTGAATATTTTTCTTTAATCCGGTGGAAGCACCTCGAGCAAAGGAGCTTCTCAGCTGTACGAAGTTTGGAGATCAAAAGAAATTCAGATATTTATGGGCACTTGAGTTGTGGAAGCGAAAAATTGCGCCACTCTGGAAGAAATTTCAGGTGCTTGAAAGAGATACTGCGTTTTTGATTGGATGTAAAAACAAAAATTTGTGATGACTTTGAAGAGGAAGATTTTTTAAGACTATATTGCATCATATGTAGGAGATGAGAAGAAGAGCATTGCTCCCCATTGTGGAAGGTCACTCATATAGTACTTGTCACTTCTAAGAATTATTGAAGAATGACAAAAGTTCACAGCTTGCTGAGCCCATATCTCGGTGAGGGGGGGGGGGTCCTTCCTCTCCTAGTCTGATTTGTTTTTCATCTTGTAGATAAGAGCATAGTGATATAACCTGGGCTGTCGCAAAAGGATCTGCTGAAGCAACTCTTCTTGAGCTTCAACTTTACACAAAAATCCTTGCGTCTTCAACTCGTTGCTGTTGCTCTCCTTCCCTGTAGCAGTTCCTTTTGCGACAGCCCCATTAAATCAAGTAAGAATTCCTCTGCAAGATGATGAAAAAAGTAGATCAAGAGAGGAATTTCCCACTGAGATACGGACCGCTAAATAGAACTACCCAAAAACCCAATTTTTTTGCTATAACTCTTGTCCAAATAAGCGAAAATAAACAGGGAAATGAATCTAGAATTTACTCTTGGAGAGTTTTCGAATTATTTGTAACATGTGGGGGTTCTTTGTTTTTTTCGCCCTGCGACGGTGGTTGAGACGCTCCAGTTCTGCGATCTCAGGTCTACCCCCCCCCTCCATATGCATCAAAGTGGGCGGGGCTGAGGAGCCATAACTGGAGCGTCTCAACCACCGTCGCAGAGCGAAAAAAACAAGCAACCGCCACATATTATATATCATTCAAAAACTCTCCAAGAGTAAATTCTAGAACCAGTTACCTGTTTATTTTCCCTTATTTGGACAAAGGGGGGGGGGCGAGCGTTAGGTACCCAGCCGGGGTGCGGGCGTTAGGTACCCAGCCATTTGTGGTATACACTAAGCCCCGCCCCTTTGTTACTTTGGCAGCGGGTACTAACGATACACCAAATCCTAGCTGCTAGAACAGCTCACCTAGCTTGCAAAAGCGCTGGCGCTTGGGCACAAATGAGACAGTTCGAGAAAACCAAAGAAATGTGCGAATAAAAACGGAAGTTTGTATACAGCCTTCTTTCTATTGTTTCTTTTTTAATATTTCAAAACCACAGAAATTCGTGGTGAAAATAGAGAACAAGGTAAGGCTTGTATGAGCAATTCACATTATTTTGCAAAAAGAAATCGTGATAACCTGATCCTCTGATCAACGGAAATTTCAAAGAAATAAACTTTGTAAAAATCCAGTTGACCAAAGTTTTATGCTTTGATGAAGCAAAGCGCTCTTTCAGAGATGCTCCTGGCAAATTAATTGCACGGAAAATTCCTTTGTTCCAAAATCTGCTTCAGATATATTTTTGACAATGAAAAGTGAAAACGATTGGAACAAGAGCTTCGAAGAGAGGTTATCATCAGAAATCTAGTTGGATAATTTGATCATATTTTGGCTGCTAAAAAAGAGAATGAGTTCCGAACAATTACAGTATGGAAGTACTCGAAAAAAGCATACGGAGAACATAGGCATGATAAAATACAGCAGCTCAATGGAAATTTCATAAGGGATGTGAAATTTTTCGAAATAAAGAAAAATGTCTGCTCATCAATGTAATCTCCCATAAATCTGCTGACCTCAGTAATGATCGAATTGATAGCCTTGACAATCTAGTTCGCAACCCCTGTAGCAACATTGACGCGAAAGGGTTACGACCCATAACTTCACACCTCAAGACAGTTGCCAGCTCCATTACTCAAAAATTCGCTTACATGAGGGAAGGTGTTTATTTCTCTCTTTTACTCACTGGTAGCAAGCGCCAGCGCTTTTGCACGCTAGGTGAGCTGTCCTAGCAGCTAGGATTTGGTGTATCGTTAGGTACCCGCTGAAAGTAACAAAGGGGCGTGGCTTAGTGTATACCACAAATGGCTGGGTACCTAACGCCCGCACCCCAGCTGGGTACCTAACGCCACGCACCCGGACAAAGGTTATAGCAAAAAAGATTTTGGGTGGTTCTATTTGACGGTCCGTATCTCAGTGGGAAGTTCCTCTCATGATCTACTTCTTTCACCATCTTGCAGAGGAATTCTTGCTTGATTTAATGGGGCTGTCGCAAATGGAACTGCTATGGGGAAGGAGAGCAACAGCAACGAGTTGAAGACGCAAGGATTTCTGTGTAAAGTTGAAGCTCAAGAGGAGTTGCTTCAGCTGATGCTTTTGCGACAGCCCAGGTTATATCAAGTATGCTCTCCTCTACAGGATAAAAAATAAATCAGATTATGAGAGGACCCTCTCACCGAGATATGGGATTTTGGCTTGGAGGGGGGGGGGGGGTTGGTTGGCAACCGAAAGCTGCTTCGGTGTCTGTGATTATTTTACATCATACTAAACGGGAAAAAAACTTACCTGAATGCTTCATGCCTTCACTCACTATCTACTGCTTCAACTGTGTACAACAAATCAATTTATTGTTTATCCAAAAAAACACAACACAATGACAATTTATTCAATTTACAGCACATTACAACAACAAAAATATCTTTTTCCAACTCTCGTCCAATACGCCCACGTCACTCCACTCCAGCATTCGTTTCATGACCATGCGCGCTTCCACGCCGACTCATGTACTGCTCGTTCCATAAATTATCCAAAATATGATTTCTCAAAAACGTATCTCTCAACTTCAAACAAATTGTTCTTGCCTCAGCAGCAGCTTCGTCTCAGTGAGGGGGTCCCGAGTTTAACTTGAACAAGTGATTTCTGGTTAAAAATTCGTTCTTTGCATTCTCATTCCTTATACTCAAATACACTCTTTCACCGTAGATCTACTCCACTTCATGCACACTGTCATTTCACCTCAAAAAAATTTTTTTGGTCCGCCCGGAATGAAGGGAGGGCGGGGGGGGGGTAGCCCAAGCTTCAAAGTGAGAGGGGGTGAGATTCATCTCAGAATATCGCACCTATGATTCCAAGTTTTGTACGGAAAGTGGGATTCGGAAAGTATGAAAAGTGCACATTTGAAATATCTAATGTAGACGTTATGTGCTTGAGCAACTTGGAGGTTCGCAGCATTTTTTGGCGGGGATCTGTTTTTTTTTCGGTGTTCGAAACTTTTGGGCTTTGCGTTTATATTTCTTATGCCGCACAGGTTGGTATGGTGGATCTTTATCGACCTAACGTTTCGAACAACTCGTCTTCGTCGGAGGTCTGAAAAAAAATTGTAGTTTATGTACCCGTTGTGCAGTGCCGCCAAACATCTCGTCTGAGTCCGCTTCGCTTGACGTTTTCTCAGACGCAACGCACTGGGAACGTAACGTTCCAAACGTAACATGTATCGAACTTTAATCCAAATGTCATTTTGTAGAGTTTGATTTTTGAATGGTAGGTTTGCTGCATTTTTAGCTCTACCTTTCCGCTGTAGCAAGAGGAACCTGCAGTAATTTCCGGACAACCCAATGATATTGGGCGCATGGAATCTTCCAACGAGCGCTCATTATTTAAATTATAAGAAACCACTTTTAGAGACAAACATCATCTTCAATGAATTTTTTTGTGATAAAATGTCAGAAACGCTATAAAAGTGTCAATTTCTATTTTCATATTCCCTTTTCCTTAGCACAGCTGAACTTTCGCTTAGTTCTATAGCCCTGCATTCATCATCTGCGTAAAAACTGACACAACATTTGCATAACATTTTTAGACTAAAATTACCAAATTTTGCTGCCTGTCATTTCACAACTATTATCAGACCATTCCCACTGCAGCATGCAAAAGTCTGGAGAGTGGAGCACTCTTATGGGAAACTTAGTTGCAGCATCATCCACGACGTTCTTTTCAGCAGTACTTGAGCATCTTTGACTTTCATAGGTTGAAATAGGAATGTTCAACAACACAAAGTGTGAAACATTCCTTGCGAAAAAGAGTTGGAGCTACTACGTGAAGATTTCGAAGAGAGAAGCTGTTCATACAAAAAATAACACACGCTAGTGATAATACGGTACAATTCGAGCATCTGATTCTGTTTGACGCCTACCTACCGCCTACCATGAAGCCTACCATGTTGTTACAAGCCTTGCAAACGAGATCAACCATCTACGCAGCCTCTCAGAGAATCGCCGGGGTAGGCGGCCACGTTTATAGACAAGAGCACAAAAATAGAATGATTTTTTGCGGTCTGCTTGCTGATATTTAAAAAAGCGCGGCTTTTTATAAACACTCAGAAAGAATCGCTACTTCTTGATAGCACAATTGCTGCGCTGGCAGCATGTTCGCAACTTTTTGCGGGTTTTCCAAAAATGTGGAAAGCGCGGTCTTTGATACAAAGACCGCTTGACCGATAATCACCCGTATACATCAAACCCAGGTATCATACAATGTTGAATAGCATTTGAGGGCAATGCTTCGATACTCGGAAAATAAGCAGGCATGGCAGCTGTCGGCGAACTTTGACAGTGGCCGCCCGAGTTGACCGAAGTTTGCGTTGCATCGCCATATCTTGCTTCAGTCTGGACGGATGTCTTGACAGAGCGGCTTTCAATACATATAAATGGTGGCCAGTAAGTATTGGCGTTACAACTTGTAATACATTTCTTCCTGAGATGTTTTATCATGGCGACAAATATGCCTGTAGCTTATGAACATCCTCTATATTATTAGGTTGGTGCAAAAGTAATGCGTGTTTTTCTAGCCCTTATTTCAAGACAACTTTTCTCCATCGAAGTTTCTCCTATGAAACTTATCCAGCATACTTTAGAGAAGCTTCTTTCATGCTCTATTCAATGGTGGTTGAAAGAAGCTTCTATCCTCAATCGTTAAAAATTTATAAAGCTTCATATAACCGCACTCCAAACCAGAATTTCATTGCACTTACTTTTTTGGCCAGAATTTGAGCGCCAGTAAACGCATTCTTTTGAAATTTAACTACTGTATGTAGTAGAAATTGTCCACGTTGTGCACGCTTTGCTGTTTTCTCAGAAATTATTTAGACTGAGATTTCTATGCCCCAACATGATTGACGCTTTTGACCATTCTGTGGCCCATAGATTTTCTTTGAAGAGGGCAATCGCCAAAGTTTCGCTCATTTCTGTAAGCGTAAGGGTGGACCTCCTGTTGATAGTTTTTGCAGAAATGTGGAAGCTGTTCAGTACACAGAAAATCATCTCCATATTTTTAAATTTCGAGGGTTACGAAAAAATGTCGAAAAAAGAGGACAATTTTAAATATTATTTTTTCCTTTTCGCAAATCTTTTTTGTTTGAGCCCCTTTCAACTTTTATTTGTACTACTGGCTGCGGCTACATGATAGTCAATTTTTCATTTATAACAACAAATCTTGAAGGAAGTTATGATCAGTTGAAAACGAGGTTTCCGAAAAAAAAATTTTTGCTTATCGATCCATATTTTTCCACCATTTTGCGATGTTAGCACAGATAAATGTGCGCCGTGTAGAGAGAGGTTTGGTGCCTCTGATGGACTTTGCCGCGCTGAAAAATATGGATTTTTTAGAAAGTTATAGCACGAAGTGAGAACTCGCAAAACGCGCATTACTTTTGCACCAACCTAATAATATGCATGAGAATTGCGCCAACTGGGGTTTTCATACGCAAACACACTTTTGAGTCTGCATCCACTCAAAAGGCATTGTGGCGCTGTCAATCAGCACCTGTTTAAAATTTTGGAGAGGAATTACTGCTGCCACCCACTATCAAACTGTATACTCTAGAAACCCTTATGTCCAGAACTCATTCGATTCGGAAGCGGCTTATCGCCAAGGGTTCGGAACGGATACATTCTTGACATAGCATTTTTCGTCGCACCAGCTTCAAGATACGCTGCTGAAGTCTATACATGTGAAGGGCCCAGTCTTGTAAGAGCTGGTTAGTTGAGCGAATATATTTTTGCATGTAAGAAGGCCCAGTCTTGTAAGAGTAATGCAATAAAATGCCCCTTCTTACATGCAAAAACGATTTCACTTACCTCGTTTTCTATAAAAAAATGACTATGTGACACCCACATGGGACACGAGATGTGCACGGTAGGTAGTGAAATTCCCAAATAAATTTAAATTTTTGCTTAAGATAGAAGTCTTATGCAGTGAAAGCAACCTGAGTAACCCAACGTAAAGAAAAATCTGAAATGCTTCACGAAATCTGGCTGCCCGCCGTGCGCTTACTATATCAGGAGTTGCGCTTCAAGCAGTGATATGAAATTCCCAACTGATGAGACGCGAAGTTCGGCGAACTCCTGCAGCAGTTGCGTTTATTTTTCAGAGTTAAGAGCGATATTGTAGCAAACTGTGCGTACGCTTGCTAATTGTTACGAACGGAGTGTTAGAGCAAAGATTAATCATTGACATAAATATCATTTCAATTTACCATTCACAGTTAATCGTTAGCCATGGAGGTGAGAATGCTTCATCATTTTGAAACGTGTCTCTAATCCATTTGCGTGATAATTACGGAAAATCGTCGTGCAAACAAATCGAGAAGAAGTTCTAAAATAACTGAGCGTATTTTGTTTCTACATGTAACATGCAATAATAACAGAGTAATTCGAGGCATTCAATGAAGTTCCTGCTCTTTGCAATTCCATTGGTCGAAGCTTTCATAAAACCGATAAGCAATGAGCTAATCTCCAAGTACGTGTTTGACTCGAAAGCAACATTACGAAAACACTGCATTTCCAGAAGCTCAAACCAATCTCCTTGCTCCTGTCCTGCATCTAACAAAGGTAAACGCTATACCTTTCATCTTTTTCCTAGCTTTATACCCGAATTGCGCATTCCACTTGGCACTTAGTATACCCAATTTTCCAAGCTTGTCTAAGAAAAAACCATCATGAACTTCCCTCGTGCTAGACTTCATTGTGGAGTGTGCAACTATCACCTCTTGGATTATTACCTCCAAGCAGTGGCGGTCCGAGAAATTTTTTTCGGGGGGGGGGGGCGACAAAAATTTTTTTCAAAAGAAGGTGCGTGGCGTTAGCCACGAACTCCGAAAAATTTTTTGGGGTGCTTCTCAAAATTTTTGCGGGTCCCCGACCCCTAAAGTCTGAAAAAAGGGGGCGTGGCTGACGCCACGCCCCCGAAAAAAAATTTTTATAAGGCTAAAATGAATTTTTAAAAAATATTAAAAATTATTTTAATTATTGCAAACAAGTCGTTTGCACATTTTTACAACCCATATAGGCAAGTTTCAAAAATTTCGCGACCCATTCTCGAGGGGGGCGCGCGCCCCCCCCCCCCCGCCCCCCCTCGGTCCGCCACTGCCTCCAAGGTATTTCAATAGGGTAGGGAACAATTACAACCTCTGAAGCGCCACTCGCGCGCGACCTATAGCACAGTCGCACTCGACTGTGCTATAGGTCGCGGATATGAGGCTGACCAGGGAACGATACTTGGTGTCCTGGCCTCTTGGATTGAGATGATACCATTACACTCGACTTCGAACGCTGATTCCGAATCCGACTTCCGTTTTTGCTAGTCGTCTTTCTGAGAAAAGTTATAAAGGATTTTTACGCCAAGAAAAGTATGGTCGGAACGCCAAAAACGCCGCTACGACTGTGGTATAGTGGCTAGTGCGATAGCGTCACAAGTCACTGCAGGTTTAGGTTCGAGTCCTTCTGTCTTTTCAGTTTTGCATTGCCTCAATCTTTTTGAAAGTCAGGTGTCCTGGGTCGTATTTCTCTTATGCAACCCTTGACGCGAAAATCCTTCATAACCTCTTTTAGAGAAAAGTTAAGCAGAAAAGGGAATCAGATTCGGAATCAGCGTTCCAAGACGGGTGTGATGGTATATGTTTCGTCTCAAAAGGCTAGGGACACCGAGTATCGTTTCTTGTGAGAATAGCAGATTTTCTGCAGAATGGTGAACACGGATGATCCTTTTCAATGCATTGAAACGGCTCACGAATGATAATGAGACATCCTTCTTTTAATTCATTTGAAGTGAAAGCCATTTCTTCTAGCCTACTTCAAGTGGTGTTTTTAGCTGAGCAGCTCGCTGCTAAATATATTTCTTTGAACTTTTGGTTTACAAAATTTTGTATGTCAGCAAAGTGTTTTCAGTTTATCCTTGTGAAAGTGGATGGACTTATTTCGACGAGACGGATGCATGTTATAGGGTATGTGACACTCTTCATAATAAAAAATGATATCGTACAGTTGAAACCATCCACCTTTACGACCATGTCCAAAAATTAGCTCATCCATTGTCTAACTATTATCCGAAGTACAGGGTGGTTTGATAAGATTCTGGCTGTTTATCTATTATCTAAAGTACAGGGTGGTTAGAAATTGTCTGCAAATACATCCAATTCAAAACTCGCTCGTTTTGTTTCATTAAGCACATCAGACCTAAAGACCATACAGAGCAAAAAAAGTTTCTCCGTGTTTCTTTGAGCTATTTTATTGGAAACACAATTGAGTAGTTTTTTACGCTTCTTCCCTCACATCGCTTGCTACAAAGATCATAACATATCCCAAACGAAACTTCGTACTTTACTAAAAGCCCATTTTCTTACATGTGCTTTTCCGTAAAAGTAAGTTCGTTCTGAAACACTGTGCATTGAAAAAGAGCTACAATTCCAATTGTTTTCCTCAAGGAATCCGTCTTCATAATCTTTTAATCTTCCAAAATTTTACAAACGTGCAAACATTTTGAAAATGTGCACAATGATAGGTGCAGATGCTACCCCAAAAACATCGAAACAGGATTTTACGGAATCTGGAACTGAAGAAATTCTAACGCAATAAGTTCGCACAGTAATTCGCTGTGCTTTTTTCGACGTAAAAAAGTCTTTGATCGCAAGCTATTGCAACTTTTGTTATATGCGGAAAATGTAAACTTTGGACTCTTAGTGGTACGAAAACGAAAACCTGTTTTCGTTTTCCAGCGTTGAAAAATTAGAACAATTTGATGATGCACTTTTCCACCTCTTCAAGGAACTGAAGAAAGTGGTCACTACCAAATTCTTGGAATATTTAAAACAAATTGTTTTTACTTGTGATATAACTTTATTGGAATGTCGGCTGTTATTACCCGATTTATCAGATCGCAAATTCTTTGAAAAGAATATGGGGCTCATTACACAATGGCTCGTAGTAAAGCTAATTCTGTTCAGTTGAACTGAACTGAGGCCCTCATCCAAGATTCGATAAGGTAGACTGCTTTCACCAGCTTCCCATGTAGTAAGAATGCAAAATGAAATTTCAGCTGACCGTCCGTCTACTTGACGAGGTAGTCTACCTTACTTCAGTCAGTCCACATTCAGTTAGACTACCAATTGATTTAAATAGTGTGTCAATGATGATACGCAGAGAAACTTATCGTAAGTTACTCCTGAGTAACTTACGATACACGTCAGTTTAACATGCCGGTGAGGAGCCACAGTGACGCTGACGAGATTTAATAAGATTTAACAAGTGCGGCAGCATCCCCGCCGCTAGTGCCAATGACGTAGATGTGAATGGTTGGCAAACTCGTCTTGACTTATATGCATGGACGTGGCGCTCTCAATCTTATCATCGTGGGTGGTTGGCAATATCAATCAATGGCTCGACTGAAGGCAAGCTGACTCGTCGAAGCCTCAACTGAAATCCTATTCAGCTGAGATCGAATGAAGCAGCTTTACTACGGGCCAATGGTTTTTGAAAATGTTCACTTTCGCCTTTCCCGATCCCTCCTCAAAATGGTTCGCAAACTTTTTGAAATGGTGTTAGGTCGTAGAATCACAGGTGATCTATTTTAATTCTTGAATGATTAGGGATTTTCAAAACTCAGTAAAAATTCGAAAAGGCTGGTGAATTCGGACGGCGAATATGTGTATGCAGAGCTCACAAAAAGAATTTAGGAGAACTTGGTTTACGATCTCCATTTGAAGAAACTGTTTCGCTCTTCCCAAAGTTGATTTAAACCAATTGAAATACATCATTGAGCTTTGTCATGATTCAAAAGAAACAAGCAAAGCCGCATATACCATCAGCACATTTCTCAAAAATTCTCTTTTTGTCATCAGTTGATATGCATGATAAGCATGAAATTTGCACTTTAAGTGAATAACTTTGCACAGCTCAAAAATATGTTGCCTTTCAAAGATCACTCTTGTGCTCTAAAAAGTATAGTCGAGTAGATTCTCTGCTAAGTATAGTGTGCTTGCGGTGCCAATATGATGCGGTAATATTTGCAATTGCAAACAAATAGCCATATAATGTCGGCCACTTCCGCATGCAAAATTCCGGCATCCGTAGCTTATTAACGCGCAGATTTTGCCGCACTCTCTTTGCACGGCACACTTCAGTAAGCTGACATTAACCCACTGTACTTGTGCAACTTTCTTAGACAGGCTCTGCTTACGTGCTTTTGTCGCCTACGCAGAATAGGCCAGCTCAAAATTGTACTTTACACATAAATCAACTGCAGTCAACATTCAGATAAGTCTTGAGATGTTAAGATATGGAATATGGAAAAAATTGCAGATTTTCTTCAATGCTCCTTTTAACACTGCCGAGAGTGTATGTCTTGCTTTTGGAGGGCACTTGACTTCAATACATAGCTATAAAGAGAATCATTTTGTGACTGGTAAATTTGATTCTTTTCATTGGAACGTAGAGTGTTATGTCTTGACTTGCTTGTGATTCAGAATTAGCAAAAAAGGGCGAAGAAATCGATGACTGTCGGCAGGGAATTTGGATAGGTTTGGTGCGATCTAATTTTTGGATGAGCAATAAGACGGATATGTGGGTGTGGACTGATGGTACAGACATTGATTTTCAAGCATGGGAACCGGCTCAACCAGTCAACGACGGACATCTAGACTGTGTTTTAGTAAGAATTTTATGTAAATATTCCATACATATAATGCTTCGAAGCCTGAAACAAGTAATGCTTCTGAAATAAGCAAAAAGAAAGGCTTAACACATTGACGACTGCTTGACACACATGGTGTGTCAAGCAATGACTACCGCGTGGGACCGCTTGACACACCATGTGTGTCAAAGCTTAAATTTTGGTAAAATGACTACTATCCTGAAATAAACTCACTCTATGAGCTTTCTTTTGCACAGAATCTAGGGATGACTTCTACCTTTCCTGTCAGCCTTTCAGATCTACTGTAAGTGTACTGTAGATGGGAGTATGCGTAATTATAGTTGAAAAAGTGGGCTGGTCCGTAGAAAGGCCTTGGTCCCAAAAGGCAGACAACTAAAAATCTACATTTTCGGCAATGTGTTAAAAGCAGTGTCTGAACAGAACGGGGGTTTTGGGATTCCAGTGCCCTGCGCAAGTGGCCCCCCTCAGACACAACATCGCGCAAGTGCGAGGTCACAGCGCTAGACCTAAAGCGAGAAAAACGACCATAAAGTGGGAAATTTACGCCCTGCGACGGAGTCCTCCGACCGGTTCGAGTTCCTTCTATGCGGCAGGGTACGCATGCCGCCACGTTAAAATCGTAGGGTCCCGCAAGGACTCTGCGTCTCAGCCTTGGCGGAAGGCTTTGGAAAACGCATGTCCTCGCGCCGTTTTCGCGCCTTCTAATGTGGATTTTCGGATTCAACGTTGCGGATAATCCCCGGTAAATGGATAGAAATCGAGTTTCTGCGTGGACCGGGGCCCGGCACAGATCGTCTGGAAGCAGGCTGGACTTCGTTTTTGGAGCAAAAAGCAGAGGAGACATCGTTTTTGCCGAATCGAGGCCGAGCTTTAAGAATAAGCGCTATTTGATCGAACACAATCTTTTCGGACAGGTTATCACACGATTGACATGCTCTATCGTGTATGGCGAAAAGTGCGCGCGATTTGAAAGCAAGGCTAAAATAAACAAATTGCTTGTTTACAGCACGCACAGAATCTTATGACACAAAATTGAACTGTATACATAGAAAATAGTTGCAAAAGAATCATGCAAAAAGATTTAGAAATTATGTGTAGTACTGCCTTTTTTAAAGCTAGTCCGTCTCCAGACGGTCACCAGACGATCTGAGATCGTCTGGAGCATATAATATTTTGTCACCTCACATAAGTTTTGGATTTTTCTATCATGGACGGATTAACCGGTCAAAAATCCATCCCTGAGCATGAAGACATCTTCATATCATTGCCTTTTCTTCGTTTTTTCCCTTAATTTCTTCATATCGCCTTGTTAATTATCGCGCTCCAATGTCAAACTCTTGAGCATGCGTAATGATCAGCTCCAATTTGGATCGTCACTCTTATCTCACGTTTTTTCTTCCCGAATAGTAAATTTTTCTTGTTTTCATCTTCTCCAAAGTAGGTAGGTTAAAGAGGACTTCGTAAAACTTCCGAAAGCTAAGGAAGACTTTGTTTTCAGAACCGTAGAAACCGACTCGTGCCGTTCCTGGCCCGGACACTGCCTTTAGAGGCAGCGGCTCGGCAGATTCTCGACTTGAAGTTTTTTTGCTTACCTGGGGTAATTCGAGGCGCTGATTCCGAAGATCCACCTTGAAGAGCGCGAAAATGGCAAAAACCACCATTTCCCAAGGCCTCCCATTTGGAATTTGGACGAATGGAGCACGTCCCGCCATGGTTAGAGACGCAGAATCGTTGCGGGACCCTCGCAATTATAACATTGCAGCATGCTTTCTCTGACGGTCAGGGAGAATCGCAAGCTCTTCCGCGCGTATTAGAATGGATTGCGCGTAACGGGGTTTTCTAAGCAAGGGCAACATGCTGTGCGCTCGGACCTGCTCTGTTCTCACGTTTGGGGTGCAAGCAACCTTCCATGCCAAAATTTCGGGATGTTCGGTTTTGGCGAGCCGCTGCCTTTAACCACCTCGGTAGCTCACTGTCTGATTCAATATGGAGTACTCGTACTCAGTTGCCACATGGAATGATAGTGGAGAACATTTTCTTTTCTGATGTTCTGAAATTTTTATCTCTTTCAATTACATTTTGCTAAACTCATCGATGTATATTTTGTTAACCGGCTTGCACGCCGAAGCTATTGAAGTAATGCAAAAAAGTCATGTTTCGCAGTTTCACTTTAAAGAGCTATAACTTCGTTTAAACATACTCACGAATGCGAAAGAGATGAACAGATGCAGTGAAGCTTTTGCAAATTGCTGAGGACTCGCTCTATGACATCATATTCGATCGTCAACTTTAGTTGACAATCGAAAACGATGTCATAGAGCTCCTTTGAACGCTATTGCTCTCTTGCGATGCACCTATCCAAAAAAATTATGAGCAATTGTAAGCCCACTTGTCAAGCCTTAAGTGGCATGAAGTTAGTGAAAAGCTCTACAAGAACACCTGTGCGATGTCCACCGGCTGTGTTCCTTCCTTGTAGTTATCCAAACTGCTCGCTTTCAGGTGTCCTTGTGGAGCTTTTCGTTGAGTTTCCAAAACTTGAGGCTTGACAATTATGGGCTTACTATTGCTCACGACTTCTTTCGGATAGCGAATGCCAATAGTTAGTGCAAAAGGGCTTGGTTAGAAGAGATCAGCGAAACAAAAAAAAAACAGAAATGTAAGATTGTCAGCTTATTGGAGCTTTCACAAGGCCTGGCACGCATGGTTTTGGGTTCAAGCATACATTCAATACATAGAGCCTTGACTCTGGTAACCTTCACTTTAAGCGTCATGATAGAACATAACCTTCAGCTGAAGAAAAGTAGAACTTACCCGTGGCAAAGCCCCGGATATTACGACATAACTTTACAGGAGTGAATGTGAATGAGGCAAGTATATTGAGTGATATTTGAGCATCGAAAACCGAAATGTTGCGTTTTTTCAGTCTTTTCTGCTGAAGACGGTTTTTATTCGAAAATTCCCCTAGAATTTAGGAAAACAATTCTCAATAAACCATTTTATAGACTACCATTGAGTGTTAGAAGTTCACAAAACCTGTTGGATTCAATAAAAAACTGCGCTTAAATCTTGCGGAGATAGTCGCCACATGAATGCTGGTTTATCTCGTTATGGAGTGATTTTCGACATCCGCGACGTTGTCAGCGCACCTAGTCGTGTCATGAGAATCGCCACGATATATAACGTTGCAAGGTTTTGTCAAGATCCCACCAAGATCTATGAACAGAGAATGCTCCGTCGGCTCTGTCTCTCTCCGCTGCTTGTCTGCGTCTCCTCGCGTTGCGCACTACCTCGCTACCCCAAGCGCGAGGCGCAAGGCATTTGGCTCTGGTACCCCTTTTCTTCGTTGTTTTCAGTCTAATCCTAGCAACTATATATCATATTGAAGCTCTCTGATGTCTACTTTCACGCTGACAATGTCGCAAAACTCCATTCTCTGATTTGAACGTGAAATCTGGCAAAAACCGTGTTTTCAAAAATCCCTTGCTTCTTCTTCAATTTGGTTCTTTTCGAAAGGTTCTTTCCGCATTTGATAGAACGTGTTTCTGTTCATAATGTAGACAAAGTCGCGGGGCTAGTTCTTCAATTGTGGTGAAATATCTAGCACAAAGCTGCAAAAAGTGCGTTTTTGTTCATAGGCCTTTATTGGAGTTAGTAAACACCATTTCTTACGATCTTGGGAACGTTTTGCTCAGGATTATGAGCACAGGAAAACTATACTCCGCCAGAAACAAATACTGAGAGGGGCTAAAAATTCAAAGGACGCATCAAAACTATGTTGTCTTTGACTTGCATTTCAACATAGGCAAAACGCTTTACTTTTTCAAAGCTAAATGTTTTTGGTTTATTTTCTCCTTGATGATCACCACTTTCAAAATGTGTTCGTTTTTAGAACAAAAGAAAAAACTAGCTTTTCCTCGTTTTCCCCCGTGCTGTGGATTGCTTGGTTCTGTAACGAAAACCTACAATTCGAGATGCCGCCATATGAAAAATTTCGAACGCTTATCGGTTCGCATCTTCTTCTCTTCTTTGATTTCCTATGAACAATTTTCACTATTTATGGGGGGGGGGGAAGGGGTAGATACTCAAACACTTTCACTTTTGACGCCCTATCTCTAGACTGTCGAAGGTATGGGTTCAAGGCGCAAGCATACCTCACGCGATCTCTGCCGCGGTCTGGCAATACTCCAACTGTTCATAACTCATCCTTTGAATGAACTAAGATGGGCAATTCATCGATGCAGTTTTACATGATGTGAGTCTGTAGTCTGCAGGTTTTGGATTTGAAAATATCTGGCAGATTGCCAGATTGCATGGCCAGTGAAATCGCGTGAGGTATACCCGGGGCTTAACTTTGTTTTGTGGTAGAAAGCAAAGGATATATCGTTTTTTGCACGGTCCGGGCTTAACTCCGTACCGTGCAATAAATGGAAAAAATCTGCAATCGTGTCAGATCGTTGAAAGTGCTCTTTTGCAAACGCGCGAATCTTGTATGCAAAATCCAAACAAACAAATGGCTTGTTTACAACGCACAAACAATCACATGACAGCAGGTTTAGGCTATGTGTCTACATCATTACTCCAAACTACATCAAGTATTTAGTTTCAGAAACTTATGTGTTCCAGAACCCGCTCTCGAATTTCTAGACCAACACCAAACCAACTGCGTTGGTACGAAGCATGAAAATTCAAGAGTTATATAAGCTTCACTTGTTTTTCATTATTTTTTTTGGACGAACTAGAAGTTCGCGAATCTATCATATATTGAAGAGAGCAAATCAAGCCGTTGCCTCTCCACTTTTCTAGACCAAAAGCATAAACATAGAGTCCAGTAATGCGTGTCAGGGCCTCCTTTGAACTATGCGGCGACAATTGCATCGCTTAATTGCTGTAGGCTACACATTTGGTTCAATGACTTAGGGAGTTTTTGACATATTGAAAACAGAATCTAAATATCAAAAAAAATATGTTTCTTGTTTTTTCAGTATTGACAACCTCAG